GTAACAAAGCGGTGGGAACCCTTTGCAAGTCACTCTAGTGTAATTTAAAAATCTTGGTTTGGACTTTAATGTCGATTTGATATCAACGATGCGAAAATAACTTAACTCTTTTAAGAAATCTCTTGCAAGAATACGCAGAGCTGCCAACTTTCTACACTTTTTGTAAAAATTTATTAGTTTACGTTTTAACCGGTTAACGTCCAGCGTCATATATTTAGGACAGTTCCTTTTTTCAAAGACATTCATTGTGGTGGTAAGTTTTTTGTTAGGATTTTCATTTATGTGGGTGAATTAAAAAATTCTCGGATACCACAATGATTTAGTTATTTCTGATTAGATCTAGAATTACAAGGAGCAAGTACTTTTGGAACTATCAAATACTATTTGAATGCCCTAACAGTAGAAAAGCCAATTAATTTCGATAATATATTATACCACTTTTTCTATAAAACCAATTTTTGAACATTTCAATATATAAATTCGGGACAAAACGGGTTAATGTATTATTTTTTATTCATTTCAACTTATTTTTCCGCACCTCTACTTATAAATGATTCAAAAGTTCATATGCAACGCCACTTTGTAATAAGAGAGATGCCAACTTGCTCCGGACAGCAAATATATATTTTAAAATGGTAGTTTATCAATTGTGATTCTTGGCTTAATAAATTCAACTTACTAGATTTTTATACACCACTATTTCTAAATGATTCGTAGGCTTATATGATTCACCACCTTCCAGTACCTACGTCAACATTTTCAGAAATTTAGATGAGATTTTGGGCTGGTCATGCGAATAGGATGGTCAACTGATTAAGGTCTGAGTCACCGAGAAGCGATGGATTATGCTGATCAAATGATGCTGATGTCATGCTGTACTGAAGTCCTTTTCTCCCTTGCAATGCCGGTCATGCTGAATTGATGCTGATTATCCTGAACGTTACGAGGTGAGTGATACAGATTTTGATCTCGTCAGGTTCCTGAGTCGGGAGAGACAATACTGACAACTGGCCATTTTGATGTCTGGATTTTGAGCCCGCCATTTTGTTTTTTCAAGTCATGCCGTATCATAAAACAGCTCGTGGTGGAAAGGTCTCACTCTCTGGTCGTAATTCACCGTCGCATTGCAAAGAATCCNTTGTATATATCTTGATTCTATTCATATCTATATCACAACTTATGACTGCATCAAATTTAAACTCCATTCAATGCTAAAATTTCAATTGTACTTGTTTATATTTTAAATTAATTCACTTTTAAAACACAACTTATGATTGCATCAAATTTAATCCCATTCAATACTTCAATATCAATTGTGCTTTTTATATTCATGAAAATTTCTGATTATTTTATAAATCATGACTCATATTAAATATCAATTCATGTTTAATTTATCAAGCAACTTTGCTTGATCTTCTGTTCTGCTAACTTAATGCTGCATAATTCAAAATGTTTTTAATTCAACTTGTAAATACATCATGATGGATGGGTTAGGGGCCGCTGCGCGGCCCAGGCACCCAGTTTTGGGTTAATAAAGTAAAGTAAAGTACTTACGTCATGCTACACCTTTTGAAAAGCAAGCAAACAATTGGTCCTTCGCAGGTCAGTGGTGACCCCCACGGGGCGCTACGAACAAACTCAGTGCCGATCTCCGGTGACCCCCATGGCATTCAACGTGTTAATATAATTCCAGTGAACATGGAATTCCCACTAGGGAACAATTTTATTGTTGTTGTATTTATACAAGTGCCTTGATCCTACCTAAATAGGGGATTTCACATCTGAAATTGGATTTGTTCCGAAAGCTGCAGATTTTTTTTTCAAAATTATATTTTTAGTTTCGCTTATTTTGTTGTCCACTCATTTGAACTTAATAATAGATAGCAAAGAAAAAATAAAAAGCTTTTTTCCTAGTTCTTATTTGAGACTTACTACCCAGAGACGTAAAAAGACTTACTACCACTTTTTGTTTATTTTATTAATCTAATGTAATATGAACGTCAAAGCGCTATTGCAAAATTTACGCAATGAATGCATTTTAAATATATGCTTCGAATAATTTTAATATACCACGACTAATTCAAGTTCATGCTTTTTTTTTTAATATTGCGAGTTTATTGAGAACATATTGGTTTAAATTTATAGATATACACTTGTCTGCTCCTTTAAAAATAACACTTAAGACAAAAAAAAGAACATATGATCATAATTTATCCCATCATAAACTTAGATGTAATTCTACCACACTTTATATAAAAGTGAAGTGGGTACAGTTAGTAAGTAAATTTTAATCAAAATTTGGTTAGCAATATATTATTAAATTGCATAAAACGTTAAAAATTTGATGGTAGTTGCTAATTAACTTAAAACATCTTTATTTGTCTTAATTCAAAATACATTAAAAAAAAAAAAACTTTCTTACAAAGCAGAAGCTGGCAACTCTGCCACTATTAAGCTTTGAGACAAGTGGAAACCACGTATTATTATCGTAAACTCTCTTTTGTCATGTGCTCGATTACTCGATTAGTATATCATATAATCGATTTTCCGAATCGTAAACTATACATATCAAATAATGAATAACATGAATCGTATCGTATACCGTATCGATTACTCAAATTGATACTAGATTACTCGATTCATATACTTATCATATACTCGATTCGAATGCATATCGTATACTAAATTATTCGATGCTTCCGTTTTCTCGATTATTCGATTTTTTTTTACAAATTTTAAACTCTATTACTCTGTTTACATATCGTATACTCACTTCGTATTTATATCATATACTCAATTCATATACATAGCATATACTCGATTCATATACACATCATATACTCAATTCGTATGTATATCGTATACTCGATTTTGGTTTATCATTAAGTAGAAACAATATATATATATATATATGTTACCGTTAAAGTATATAATGCAGTTATTTTATAGAATACTTAGTTATTCCATGAAATGACTAATCGTGTCCGTTAAAGTGTGTAATATGTTATTAATTTGACACTTTAGTTATTCTATGAAATAACTAGGTATTCTATAAATTAACTAATGAGAGACAGTTAAAGTGTAAAATGAACGATTGATCTAAAATGAAATAACTAGGTATTCTATAAATAAACTAATGATAGATAATAAAAATGAAAAAAAAACAATTTATCTAATTTATGCAGCGTATAAATGGTATTTATGGAAACGTACCAGAAAATCATTTATTATAACAAGGATTACTAAAATGACATTTGGAATTACAAAGAACATTATTTCTAAAACAAAAACATTTTTTGTTGAATAGTTCAGGGATTCTCAACCTGTGGGGCGCTCCCCCCTAGGGGGGCGCGAGCACTCTAGAGGGGGGCGCGAGAATATCCAAGAGAAAATATTATTTAAAAAAATTTATTAACTGCCTGAAAGGAAAGCACTTATTCACATAGAAAACAAATTTTTTTTACATATTTAATAACTTTTTAAAGTAAAACAACTTACTAAATCAAAACTTAAGATGGGTGAGCCAAAGGAGGCCATAGCTAAGCTTTGAGGATTTTTCCTAATCTTTTGGTTAAGTCTGTGCGGCTGAATTTTTTTTTCGTAAAATCTTACACCTATCTCTAATACATATCACGAATACTTTTAATTGTAAAATAAAATTTCATTTAATTTATAGTATGATTTCAAAATTGTAGCTTTTTTGTCTAAGGAGGCCACAGGTTACAAAGGTGGCCCGTATATTGATATATTTTTCACTTACTTAAATCATCTTTAGAAAAGACAGTTGGACTGGAAAACGTTCTTTTAAAAAGGCACTTTGAGTGTCTTGCTGGTGGGGACAAGTTTCCTGACTTTAAAAAAGATATTTGTTTTTAGATTGTATTGTTTTTTTTATACATCATTAACATTGATAGTTCTTGGGTGACGTCACTAGCGATTCTTTTGAGTTAACTCATTAGAATAAGTCAAGAAGTACTGAGCTAATTCTTTCAGAAAAGTAAACCATAGCTCATAAGTAAGAGTAAACTAACCTGACCCATTACTACTATAAAAAAACAAACAAATTTACAAAAAAATGCCAGAATCTACCACAAAAACACCCATAACTACTACAAAAAAATACCTAAAAAAATACTTTAAAATGTATACAAAACAAAAAAGCTTTAAAAATCTATTAAAGTGCAGAGAACGTGAAAATATTATAAAAATTAAAAAAATGCCAAATTTCCACATTTGCTTAAAATGAAATAAATCAATTGGTATTAAATTAAATCATTCCTTTTTGAGAAATATATATTGCGTACTGATTTATAATGAACTCTTTAATAGATTTCACGTTTCTTTCCGACGGTGGCCCACGTGTGCCTAAGGTGAGCTTGGGAACATACATATGATCATCATTTGCACGACTTAAAGCTATTAATCTGATGAATTAATTAGAATTAAAGTATTGTGGTTAAAGAAAAAGAAATAAACTTTCAGAAAACCTATTACAATTCAAAGTTCTTAGAATTTGAACACTTATAAATTGCAATACCTTCTTACTTGTAAATTAGAACGACAATTGCAAAAAATTAAATCACTTCATACAATGGAAGCCATTTAAGGAAATCTCTTCCAATTCAGCCGCGTGAGTTTTTGATACAAGATTAACAATGCAGAAGGGTTATACTGTGATTAAAAATTAAATTAATTCTACTTTTGGGGAGTGGGCTACGTTTGGAACACTGGCCACCTTTGACGCACCCACCTTACTTATATACTAAATTAAAAACAAATGTAATAATTATTAGTGACTTCCTTGGGCTTGTCTTGCAGAGCAAAGTTTTTCGAAGGAAGGCTTAATATTAGAAATAGCCACTCTCAGTTCTGTTTCTACATTCAAGCGAGATCTATATTTTGTCTTCAAAGAAACCACAGCAGAAAATCCAGTTTCACAAAGGTAAGATGTTGAAAATGGTAATAGAATGCGAAATGCCCTTGTTTTTAGTGCAGAAAAATCATCCTCCTGCCCAAAATTCAAATAGTGATTTATTAAATTGTATTTTGATTTCGCCTCTTGTCGTGAAGTCTATGAATTTTTCTTCCTCATCAATTGAGAGTCTTTCGGGAGTCTTATGAAATGGGTTCCTAACCCACTCGTAACTTGCTATCAGTTTGTCGTCAGCAGGAAAATACNTTAAATGATTTTCAATGGTTACAAATACAACTTTTACGTGTAATTCTTCAGCCTTGTAAGTTTTAGCAGAATCATCCACATTTGTAAACATAGTTAGGTTTTTTTGCTTCAAATTTCTGCTCCATAATTCTAATTTTCTACAAAAAGCATTGACTTTATCACTTGTATCCAACAGATGTGAATTTGCACCTTGGAGTTGAAGATTCAAGTTATTTAATTTCTCGAATATGTCGACCAAGTAACCCAATTTCATCACAAATAAACCATCGCGAAAATTCTCAGCTTCCGGTCTGTTTTCTTCTTCTAGGAAAATAGCAATTTCTTCTCTTAATTCATAAACACGTTGCAAAAATTTCCCACGTGATAACCATCTTGCCTCGCAATAAAATACTAACGCTGAATGTACTGAACCCATGTCTTTGCAAAGTGCGGAAAAGATTCTCGATTTCAGGGGTCTCATTTTTATATAATTTACTACGGTTACAACCGTAGTTAACACAATGTTCAGACCAGGACTCATTTCTTTCGAAGCCAAAGCTTCCCTGTGGATCATGCAATGTGTCCAGACGCACTGAGGCGATTTTTGCTTTACAAGTGCTTGTATACTTTGGTATCTTCCGGACATTGAACGAGCACCATCTGTGCATATTCCGACCCAATTTTTCCATTCTATGTTTGCCTCGTTCATAAAATCATTTAAAATTGCAAATAATGCGAGAGCTGCTTGTTGCGCTGTTGTTCTATTGGTTTGCAGAAAGTAGTTCTTCTGCTACTGACATATTATCACAAAAACGAACATAGGCAATTAAATGAGCATCTTTATAACTATCTGTTGCTTCATCAAACTGTATTGAAAATAATTTGTCACGCAACTTCGAGAAAAGCTGACACTGTACATCTTTTGCTATATCACCGATTCGACGAGCAACAGTATCATTTGAGAGAGGTATGGACTGCAATTGTTTTGAAAAATTATCTCCAAACATAGTTTCTACAATCTCAATTGCTGCTGGCAAAACAAGCTCTTCACCAATGCTGTGAGGTTTTTTACATCTGGCTATTTTATATGAAACTTTGTAAGATGCAATTAAAGCTTTTTTATTCACAGACAAAGTTTCTTTAAAAAATGATTGTTGCTTTTTATATGATTTTAACTTAAATTCGAAGAATTCTCTGGGTTTGTTGACGTACTCACTATGAAGCGTTTCCAAATGTCGTTTAAGTTTAGTAGATTTCATGCTGTCTGCCGCCAACATTTTTACTTACTTACTTTATTTACAAAAATTGGGCACCTGGGCCACTTAGCGGCCCCTATCCCATACATCTAGAAATTTACAGAAAATTTATAGTAATAACATTTTGAATTTAGCAGTCGATGTGGTAGCTAATAGAAAAACAAGCACTTTGCTTGAGTAAATATAACATTTGAATATCTGATTCATCGAATCTAAGTTGATATATATAAATATAAGCATAATTTGACATATATATACATAAGTTGACATAAATAAATAATAACATAAATTGATACATATTTCACTAATTAAATTTCTATATTTTAACTAGCACATATTTAATTGTGACATACATTGAAGTTCATTCGAATACATTGTGGTAACCATAAAAAAAATTAAGCCGTTTGCTTGTGAAATAATAAAACAATGAAATTTAATATGACAAATTGACTTAACACTAGAAATATTGATTGTAGACTTAAATTAAAAATAAAGATAAAACATGATTTGATATGTACAGTAATTGATTTTTGAAAAATGAAAGGCATAATTGATGAACCAACATTTTTGAGCAAATGATACACAGGGGCCTTTCTTCTTTATTTACTTCAATACTGGTAAATCCAAAATTTAAGTATTCTTGAGAATATTTTCTTGATTTTATTTTTTGAACCACGTTCGACTGTGTACTTGTCGATGCCTGACTATCGTCTAATGGCCGCTTACTTCCGCTTAAAAATTTATCCATGAGTCTGCATAAATCTGCTGCCGTGAATATTTAATATGGTGAATAGCAATTAACACGAAAACATATATTACACGACAGATTCGATAGCGATAGAAGGATCGACTCGAATGAGACTAGCTATAAATGAAACTTTCGTTATTCGAACATTTTCCTTCTTCCGAGAAAACATTTGCTCTGCGCATGCTCGAGGCTGCATCGGTCATGTGGATTCCCTTCCACAAACATTGCTTATTTTTTTTCTTTTTTAGTCATGCTTTTGTTTTATTTCTACTATTATTCGAAAAAATGTATTCCCTGCTTTTAAATTTAGTACACCCCGTCTAGGTTAACTTTCATTAACGAATTTTTCTAATTTCATATTCTTTTAACTTTATCTCTCTGTTTGGCTTTCATTTCAAATATAATATTTTTATTTTCCCCGCTTTCATTCGCTTTATCCGTTCACCCCCTGCTTGGCAAAATGCCAGATGTGGTTTCTCGCCAACTTTGGCTCGCTTTTACTTTTGTTTTGGCAGTTGGATAAAATAATTTAAAAACAGAATCGAAAATAATATACATAATTGTCGTATACATTTAATTGTAAGAGGGGGGGCGATGAAATTTATGATTGAAAACTGGGCCGCGAATACTGAAAGGTTGAGAAGCGCTGAAATAGTTCATAAATGCAGTAGGGGTGGAAGGTAAAAAATGTATTTGTTGTGCGAGATATATGATTATGATATAGATTATTTTACACTTTAACGGGCTGCAGATCGTTGTTCTATGAAATAACTAGTTAAACCGTGAAGTACAAGAGAGTTTTACACTTTAACGGACACGATCAGTTATTTCATGTAATAACTAGGTATTCTATAAAATAACGGATTTCATACTTTAACGGTAACATATATACCTGCAGAGATGGCACTGTGATTTTCAACATCCTTGAACGCATTTGATAAATCAAAATCTTTTTCTTCTGCCTTTGTATGAGTAAAGCTGAAAGTAAATGAATAGTTTCACAAATCTTTCCTTACTCATTTTGAGTACCGTTTGTTTTAATTTAATATTTTGACTTCTTGAGACAGTAAAAAAGCTAGAACCGCAGGGTACAACCATAATCTGCGCCCAAGAAAGAGAAGAAAACGATTAGATAATATCATTTTGATGCTGTTTAATCTCTTCCTTATCTTTTTCAGACATAAATTGTAACAATAAACTAATGTTTTTCGCACTCACTGTTTTAATTTATTATCAGAAGTTTATTTCACTCTCCCTTTTTCAGGGATGCCAACTTTCAACGCCTTTTGTAAAACTTTATTCTAGTGGTAGCTATGGTTCCGTTTTTATATGTTTCCGTTTTTATTATGGTTCCGTTTTAAACTTATTTTCCACACCACTACATACATAAATTATTTAAAAATTGATTTACGAAAGCCACTTATACAGCTCTTTCTTGGTAAGGTTCTTAAAATTTTGCAGTTACCAAACATTCTGTAAGCTTCGGTTTTTAAATGTCTACCACTCCATAAAATATTTGGCAGGCCTGTTTTCTTTTTCGCGTTATGCAAAAACGATATTATCCCTTTACAGAGATGCCAACTGCTCCGGACTACTCCACAATAACTAAAAAAACAAAACAAAACAAAAACGGTAAATCACTACAAAGTAAATTTTGCAAATATTTGACAACTTTTGCTTGCTTATTAAAAGCAGAGATGCCAACTGCTCCGGCGACACGCCAAAATGATTTAAAAAACGGTAGAGAATTGCAAACTAAAATTTGCAAATACTTGACTAATTTTGCCTGTTTTTGAAAAGTTTAGAGTGATATAACTTTAAAGAGTTGTGAATTATATAAACCTACGAATAATTTAGAAATGGTGCTAGATAAATATCTAATAATTTGAATTTTTTTTAACCAGGAATTGCAATTAACAAGCTACCACTTAAAAATATTTATTCGCTGTCCGGAGCAAGTTGGCATCTCTGTAAAAGGTATAGCATGACATAAGTGCAATGAAGTGGTGAATTATGTAAGCCTACGAATTATTTAGAAACAGTGGTGGATAAAAATATACTTAATTGAATTTATTTAACCAAGAATCACGATTGATAAACTACCACTTTAAAATATATTTCTGCATTTTATACTCTAAAGTAGTGATGGGCAATAACAGGTATTTTCAAATAACAGGTTCCAGCTGTTACCATACAAAATAATACCTGTTCCAAATACCTGTTCCAAAATAACAGGTCTAAGGAAAAAAAATTCCAACTTTTTTACATTTGAAAGATAATTTAATTGTTGTTGCAGTAGTTAATTTATGTTGCACTAGAGCTGTTGCACTAGAGCGACGGTCTGAGAAACATCCTTGAAAATGATCCGAAGACAATCCATTACAATTTTGATCCTCTGCAGAGAGGATGGCACCCCTGCTTCGGTAGCCCAACGACCTGCACGCGAAGTCTAGTGCTTTACAGTAGAACAGTTTAATGAGGACCAATACCGCACATCCTCGGTCCCTACGCACACTTATCCAAGTGGTCACCCACCCGCACACTGACCGCAGCCAAAAGTATAGTTTAGACTGGCAAGTATTTTTGTAGCAGATACATATTTTTCTATTAATTTTTCTATTAAAATACATATTTTTTTTTCTAAGAGTATCGCGAAGTTTTTTCTAGTTATTTTTTTAAACAAAAAGAAAGCAGTTACACATTAATTTCTCTTTTATTCTCGGTTGTTTAGGCTCCGTGAAAAGATTTATTACTTGTTTCTAAATAAAAAGGATATAGGAGTTCCCTATTACATTCTGTTTGATGATATAACCAGAATCTTTTCATTTCTACCAGAGGAAGAAAAATGGAACTTCATTAATATCGAGCTAAATTAGAAATTTAAAAAAAAAATAATTTCTGAATTTAAAATACAACATAGTGTATTATTATTTTTTAATAAAAACAATTTAAGAATAGCACATTATATTCTGTATCTGTGACAAAATAGCCAGCATATTTTCATTTTATATAAAGAAAAGAAATAGGGCTTAGTTGTCTTCTAGAATTTTAAATTTGACAAAAATGAAATTAAATATAACCTAATACCTAAAAATAATCTAACTGCATGCATTGCAACCTCGTCGCAACTTTTTAAATAGTTCGAATATCATCATTTGATAGTTTTAGGCTAAAAAAGTATTTATACTAAAATGCGAATTTAGCATAATTTTTAAAGAAACAAGCCGTTTTAACAATTCTTAACTTTTCTTAGATTATTTAAATAATATTTTTCTTTCAAAACAATCAGCACATTAATATCAAAATATCACATACTGTGTGGCCTAATGGTAATTTTAATATCAAAAGAAAATTCAAAACAGGAAGAAAAAAAAGAAATACGCCAAATTAACTGTAATAGATTTTTTCCTTTCCTGCAGAATATTATCATTTAAAAATAGTATATTATTTATTTTCTTCAAATATTCAAAGTAAATAAATCTTTTAAGCAACAAAATAATAGGCAATGCCAGAGGGACATCTATTTCTATGCGAGTGGACGAAATTCAACGCAATTTCAAATCACTCTTCACATAGAACATTGATTGAATTATTACAACAAATAACTACGAGGGAAATAAAGGACACGCCTTCATGTAAAAATATTGATAGAGTCAATTCGTAACCTCGAAGGTCACGGTCGATCTCGACCTCGAAAAGGAAGCCGCCGATAGCAGCGAAAGCTAGGGAGGTGGTCCGAAAGTTAGGGGACCAATGGCGTAAAGAGTTGTCTGGATTCTCAAAGTAAACTACTTGATTAGATGTCCCCCGGAAGACAATTGTAATTAGTGCAGTAAATACAGTAGGCGGAAAAAAGAGACAAAAAGATTGGAGCATTTTTAAATAAATGTAGGCCGTAGTTACTTTATAGTGAGCAACTCACTATTTCAAACAAAATATTTTGAATTTTTCATTAAATGTATAAAATATATAAATTTAATGACCCCTAAAACTTTATAACTAAGATTCATTATTAAATCACATTCATAAAATATTTTGCTTAAATATTTACATATATTCTACTACCCTTCATCTTCTGAGTACTATTTAACTACCCTTCATGCTTCGTCATAAGTTCAGCAATTTAAAGTAGAAGATGTAAAAAAGGATAAAGATTGGGAGAAAAAATATAGTGTTTGATAATATAGCTTGCCTACAAAGAAAATAAAGTGGTTAAATATAGCTTGAATTCGCATGCTAAATATAGTTTCAACAATTTAAACACATCCTTCTAATAAGGAAATGAAAAGTTAAAATATGTACTGCCTTAAAAAAAGAAAGAAAAAAAAAGGTGAAAAAGAGAGAGAGAGAGAGAGAGAGAGAGAGAGAGAGAGAGAGACAATAAGACTCGTATTTTGTAGGAAATTTTTTTCTATTTTACATGTAGGAAATATGTATCAATATCAAAAAAATTAGGAAAAATATTTAAATGCTTCTACTTTTTGCATCACTGAAAAAAAAATTAAAACAAGGAAAATGCAATTATACCCTTGCCCGAGCATCAAAAGGGCAGGGGGACTAGTCATCGCTTACCCAACATTCCTACAAATAAACTTAACCTGCAAAATAGTAGACAAAGCTATCACAAAATTCTTGCCTATTCCTTTATACAAATTTGTTCACAAATACTAACCTGCTTCACCTGTTCCAAAATACTAGCCTGTGACAAAATACCATCTGTTTCAAAATATTAGCCTGTGAAAAAATACCATCTGTTCCAAAATACTAGGCTGTGACAAAATACTGCCTGTTCCAAAATACTAGCCTGTGACAAAATATCGCCTGTTCCAAAATACTAGCCTGTTCCAAAATATCGGCTGTTCCAAAATACTAGGCTGTGAAAAAATATCGCCTGTTCCAAAATACTAGCCTGTGACAAAATACTGCCTGTTCCGAAATACTAGCTGTGACAAAATATCGCCTGTTCCAAAATACTAGCCTGTGATAAAATAACAGGCTGTTTCGATATAGCGTGTGTTGGCTTCGAATGTTGCTGAATGAACATTAATAAAATCTTCATAGAAAACAAAAACAATATTTATTGATAATATAAGTACACTCGTAACTTACTACACTCACGCACATATCGTATTATTCTGCAAAATAATAATGTTTACATCACAAAATCGAAACTGAAACTAAAACATAACCGCTGTTGCCATTCTTCATTTTTACAATATATATGCGCTTACGGTGGCCAAGCAATAAATTTTTGGCAAGATAATTGTTTGCCTAGTATTTTGGAACAGGCCTTTGGAAGTAACCTGTTATTTTTATAACAGGTACGATTAAATAACAGGTGACAAATACCTGTTCCAGAAAATATTAGCCATCTCTAGTNTTATATTATTCTTCAAAATTTTAAAAGAATGTGGTAACTAATTATTAAGGAATTTTTTTTTTTTAATTTTGGAGTGTTGATGGCGCCTGACATCGAACTGCGAAATGGTACAGCATAAATATATATAATACAAGAATACCACACTGAACCATAGGGTGGTCGAGTGGTTAGCGTGCCAGAATGCGAAACCAATGGCTACGGATTCGAATTCCGCTCAGGACATGGCTCTGTGTGCTATCCTCTGTTGGGTGATGTGTGAATGTGGCCCACCCTAGGAACGGGCATCAACGTTACTCGCCTCCCTGACTTGGGTTCACATGTTCCCACCTTAGAGTTGAGACAGTAGGTATTTCAACGAATCGCAATATTTCAACTCTATGGTGCCCACCGCTTAGCGATAAATGATCAACACTTCCGGCATCTTCTAAAGGCAGAGAATGAAAGTTCAGTGCCTGCCAAACCCCTTGCACTACGCTGAAATTCGGATCAAGCCGTGCCTAACTTATGTACCCGAATGTTCGTGAAAAGAGCCTAAGTGGCAGAGCCCGAGTCTCCGAACTTTAAATACGATATCTTGCGACTAAGTGCAAGATAGTCGCACTGGTGTCTTTTTCTTTCTTTCTTTTCTTTTTTTTTTTACTTTTAAAAATGCTTTAATTCTAAACTTAATTAATTTATTCTCTACTATAATTTTATTTTTTAAATTAAGTTTAATTTTAACCATGCTTTGATTTTAATAAATCTGTTAATTATTTATTAATTTAGTCTTACTTTTAATCCTATTTTAAACTAATCTTAGTTAAAATCTTTTTCTTTTTAATTTCAACCTTAATTTAATCTCAACTTAATATTAATCTCATTCAAAATTTTAATTTAAATTTAATAATCAGTTCTAATTTATTTTATTAAAGCTGCATTTCCCTCATTTTGTTGTTACCTGACTTTAATTCTGACCGACTCAATTGCTGATCATAATTAAATCAATTCCTCACTTAATTCTTGTCTCAATGCCAATTTTGTTCTGGTTTGTATTTTATAACCCACTTAACAAATTATCAGCCATGTAACCACCACAATTACGAACCTTTGTACAACACAATTTGGTTGGTTGGTTCTAGTGCCACTTGCCACACGGGGAAGCCTGCTTGGTGAAACCGAGGAAATTTAAAGCAGAGAGTGCGATTCTTGTTTTTCAGTGGCGCCATCTATGGCCAAGAATTCGACTTCTGCCACATCATACGTCACACCTGTTTATAGGGCGGATCCATTCATACAGCCATTCATTCATCCACAGATCGTAATTTTGACCTGAATCAGAGAACGATCGATCTCCAATCCAGTACCCCCAGAGGTTAATAATACATTGATTCTCATTGTTGTTTAGTGATAAACTGGAAGGTGTAAAATAAAGCACTATTGCACAGAAACATCCTTCTTTAATAGCAAAAGTTAACAATTCATCAATAAACACAGTCCAGCAGTGGACTAATCGTTAAGACACGGTTCACAGCAGATCACCGAAGTCATGCATCACTGGCTGCGGTCAGTGTGCGGGTGGGTGTCCACTTGGATCAGTCTGCGTAGGGATCGAGGGTGTGCGGTATTGACCCTCGTTAAACTGTTCTACCGTAAAGTGCTCGACTTCGCGTGCAGGTCGTCGGGCTACCGAAGCGGAGGTGCCATCCCCTCTGCAGAGGATCAAAATTGTGATGGCATGTCTTCGGATCATCCTCAGGGATGTTTCCCAGACCGTCGCCCATAGCCCATTGTGCAGCTCTAGTGCGACGTAAATGAACTACAACAACAACATCAATAAACAAAGAAACTCCAGAAAAAGGTTATTCGTAAAAAACATATTAAAAGTAGATATTAAAAGAATTAAAAACTTAAACTGTCGAATGCAAGCTCTCGAAGGTGGAAGTCACCGGGAAAGGCTAAATATGGGGACGAGGTCGCTGCCACAACCATTATGGCAAAATATCCACTCCTTAAATATCAGACTGTTCACTCTTAGCCGCGGTTGTCGGTTGTGTTCATCCGATTCTTATATCTTGTGTTCATCCGAATTTTATTAATAAATTGTGTCCATTGAAATTATTAATAAAATTTATGTAAAACAAACTATAAGTTGAGTTGCATAAAGTTGGTGCTCTACTTGTACACCGAATATTAGGGAAATATTACACTATAGTGAGAATCTTAACATTAATAAAAAAAATATCATTCATATAATCATTCAAAAAAATATTTATATCATTTATGTATTATGTAATTGAATGGACACTATATGACTTGACCTTTTCTCCGAATTTGGGATTGACAAACTATCAATTGATGGTGCAGTCTTCTTCTGTTTTAGGTGCTTAATAAATACCTAATAATAATGTTAACTTTCTCTGCTTTTTGACGCTTTAAAGATACTTAACATTGGTGCAACCTTCTTCACTTTTAATTTCCTTCAACAATATCTAATCATGGTACAACATTCTTCAGCTTTTAGTTATTTGGAGCTAATGAAAGCCCATGTTTCACCATCATGCCAGAAAATGAATAGTACCAATGTTTGGCGCAACAAATCTCGAAATTTTTACCAGTGTACTGACGATAATATGTACTAATGGAAATTGCTGCAGCTTTGATAAGAAACCTGCTACGGGTTTTCCGTAGCTCCATAAAATATTTTTCCATAGGTAGCTAAGATAATGTATTAATATTTAAACGGGTTAGAAATAAATGAGCTTTTTTTCTACCACTACTTATAAATATTTTAACAATAAATTAAATGTCAGATAGAGAAATGGTCAAGCTCCAAAATCTTTAACAAGGCTTTACAGGAATCTTATTTGCTTTAAAAATTCCGACTTCAATATGTTGCCACTGATAAATGTAATTCGTGCAAAACTCAAATGTTGAAGAGTTATGTAATAAGTACCAAATATACTAATACAGGGTTATTCATAATTCCCCCCGGGGTTTCGAAGTGTTATAGTAAAAACACGAAGACGAATATAGCAAAAAAAAAACATATGAATTTATTCTGAAAGTATTCAAGTTTTAATTTAAGCAGTTGCCGGTAGATGGCAGAAACATGTACTACTGAAGCCAGTTGTATTAAAGAAAAATGGCGTTTATAGGCGGAGGGAATTATGAATAACCCTGTATAAGTATAAAACATTGTATTGATATATTTTAACAAAAGGGGGTTTTGTGAAAAAAGTGGTATAATATGTTATTCAACTAAATGGCTAATATCAACTGTTTGTTACCATTTCATTTAGAAATGGTCCTGCACCTTAGAAGATCTATCCTAAATCTTTATTAAATTATAGCGGAAGGGAATCTCTTAATTCTCCTAGACAAAACTGAAACAATTGTCCTACCACAATAAATGTTTTTGTAAAAGGAAACTGTCCTATAAATATGACGCTGGGCTCTAACATGTTAATACCGACAGCTTGGAAATAAGTGTTTTAAATCTCCTAGAAAGTGCACCGGAGGAAATTACTTAATAGTGGTAAATTTTGACCTCGATTAATAGCATCATGTAAAGTGATGCAGAATACATTTTATCTTTTTTCTAATGGGATGACCTACAGAAAACGAGTGTTGTTACTTCAGTATCGTAAAGCCCCCGAAAAGGGCAACAAATAATATTTAATAAAAATAAAATTGAAATTATTTTAGCTATATTATTTATTACTTACTTAGTGTAAGGAACAGGTATGTGACATTTTGAGAAGGGAAAAAATATTGTATCCGAACTATTTTATTACCCATTTATTAAAAGACGGGACTAATAATTCTTTGCTTTACTTTATTTACAACTTCATAATTTGAAATAAAAATCACGCACGCTTACAAAAAACTATTGCGGACTAGTTATGTTAAGATTAAAGTTAAGGCAAAAATTAAACGTGACCATATTGATACAACCACTTTATGTTATTTTCTCTGATTGTATAATTTCCTTAAAACATCACTTGCTCGGTTCTTTAATAAAGCTCTTCAATGGTGTCGGTATATTCCTTTTAGTTTTGAGTATTGACGTCATAGTGTTTCCCAGCACTGATTTATTGATTCTTTTCTTTCTTTTTATGCCGACCTGCTTGTGTAGGGGTTAGGGTACTGACCTTGCATCAGAAAGGTTCTGGGTTCGAATCCTGGGCAAGGCATGGATGTTCTTTCCTTCTCTGTACCATCTGTCCTTACAGTGGGAGCAACGTTGGCCCACCTAATATGGTTGTCCCTGAAAGAGTGGTCAACAAATCTGTCCTTCAGGTGCCTGAATGACCAAGGTCATTATTCAGGCGGGCATGGGAAAAAAAATCTTTTTTTTTTATTCAACCAGTTTGAAGAACGGGTATTCAGCTAGTATTTTAATAAAATAAATTTCAGTAGTGAAACAATTCAGTTACCAAACTTATGTTTGGGAGATAAGAGCATAGAGACGTGGGCTCTTAACACTTGAAATGCATCAAGCATAAATATTTCGGAAAAAAACTATTTTTTTTTAATGGCGGGCACTTGGAACTATTGTCCATCGGCCACAGAAAGTGCCAGAACTGCTAACTCTCTTTTCGTTACCCAGTGGGCACCTGTGGCGAAGCCACGGCCGTGGAGCAGCGTCGCCCACGTCTCACTGCCACAACCCGTATTTAGGGCGGGTCACATTCACACACAAAGGAGAAAGGACATAGAACACAGATAGAGAGAAAGAAACATCCATGCCCAGAGCGGGATTCGAACCCGCAGTCAGGCACGCTAACCGCTCGGCCACCTGGCCGGCAAAAAAAAAAGAAAAAAAACTATAGTATATCAAAATATCATACCCTAACGTATGAGTATGCAGAGATTTTATTATATGAGGCTGAAGTGAATTTTTTATGTTTTTTGTAAAAATTTATTGTAGTGGTAGCTAAGTTAATGTTTTAATGTATTAGTTTTTTTATTTACTTTATTATTTTCAACACCACTACATATAAATTATTTTAAAGTTCATTTTTCAGGGCCACTTTGTTTCAGCTCTTTTGTAAAGGGCCGGAAGGCCTCCGACGCCCAGTTCCACTACAACGAACGAACAAATTCTGCTCTTTTGTCGTAAGGCTTTTATAATGTTGGCAAAATTACCAAAAATTCAGGAAGCTTTGGTTTTAAATGTCTACCACTCCATAAAATATTTTGTGGAAAGCGTAGTAATTGGCGGACCTGCATAAATAACACAGAAGAGATCTCATCAACGAAATTCGGCCAGCCCTTCTTTTTAGTTCTCCAGACCTTATTTTTTGATTTTTAAGCACTTTTCAAGTTTATGTTAGATTAAAACTCTTGAAACAGTTTTGTTTGCAAACACTTTATATCTTAAACTTGTATGTAGGAAAATCTTAATTATTTATAACAGTCGTTGAACAGCCGACCCGACCCAATTTTTAGGATTTACGACTTCTAATGTTCAACTCTGTAGCCTTGTAATTTTGAGCTCAATGCATTAGACAAGGGAACTCCTGGATCAAATATTGGGAGAAATTTGCCTTCTCAGACGACTTATTGATGGAACTAATTCTCATTTGCGTTACATGGGGAGGAAAATCCCTCCCACGGTTAGTCTGACGGCAAGGGGACTCTCATCCATGATCCGTCTACCACTGAGAATATTTCACGTCAGCACAGTAGTCGGTGCAAGCCGGATGCGAAATTTGCGTCCCAGCCATCCCTGGGATTTAATTCCCGGGCCACCTCATTGGAAGGCGAACTATCTATCCCCTGCGCCATCACAACTCAATGTATATAGATTGAATGAAATGTACATGAATCAGAGATCTTACACTGTGTTTCATACAAAATTTAACAAAAACTCGCTCTTGTCCAGTGAGAGAGATCGAAGAAATCTGATTAAAATTGAGAAAATAGTTTCGGGAGGAGGATGAATGTAGTAATTTGAGGTTTAATCAACACAATTTATCTTCTTATTTATATTTCAAGGTCACGATTATTTATTTATTTGTAGTCATGATTCAAAACAAATTGTATATATATATTTGTAAATATATATATATATATAATTGTAACAATTATAACAANTGGATCAAATATTGGGAGAAATTTGCCTTCTCAGACGACTTATTGATGGAACTAATTCTCATTTGCGTTACATGGGGAGGAAAATCCCTCCCACGGCTAGTCTGACGGCAAGGGGACTCTCATCCATGATCCGTCTACCACTGAGAATATTTCACGTCAGCACCGTAGTCGGTCCCAGCCGGAAGCGGAATTTGCGGCACCGCCATCCCTGGGATTTGAACCCGGTTCACCTCATTGGAAGGCAAACGATCTATCCCCTGCGCCATCACAACTCAATGTATATAGATTGAATGAAATGTACATAAATCAGAGATCTTACACTATGTTTCATACAAAATGTAACAAAAAATCGCTCTTGTCCAATGAGAGAGATCGAAGAAATCTGATTAAAATTGAGAAAATAGTTTCGGGAGGAGGATGAGTGTAGTGATTTGAGGTTTAATCAACACAATTTATCTTCTTATTTATATTTCAAAGTCATGATTATTTATTTATTTGTAGTGTCATGATTAAAAAAAATTGAATATATATATACCTTTCATAAACCATAAGATACTCCAAGTCAGGTTTTTAATTGAATTTAACATTAACAGTTGGTAATTACTGCTTTGATCAAACTTTGAAAACAAATTAACATTTTATGACATTGCAGCGTTTGAGAAAAGCAAAAATGAAAAAAAAGGACAGAATCAATTTGTCTTTAAAAATATGCTTTTATTATTGTTTCTATAAACTTACATATTTAGGATCGAAGTTAAATTTTTTTTAAAATTTAACCGAGAACAGCTCCTAAAGATTGACTAACAGCCGCTGCAGAGTTTCCGATTGAGCTGAAGTCGATTTGACCTATATTGGAGGTACTCAATATGTGTATGAGGGTAGCCACCAGTTCCAGAAGAGCTTGTATAACTACTTCAGCTTGAGATGCTCCGGCAGAAGTAGCACTGACTTGTCCGATCAAGTTAGATACAACGGATTGCAAGGCACCTACATTCAATACCCCACCTGAGGCCAAACTGGAAGCAGCTGAACTGATTCTGGATTGAGATGCTCCAGAATTAATTCGTGAAGCAGCGGATGCACTAGCTCCTGCAGCACTTCCATATCCAGTTTGTACACCTTGGCCATAGCCTCCTGCTGCAGCACCTGCACCAGAAGCTGCACCACCTCCAGAACTGTATCCGGTTTGTACTGCTTGGCCATAACCACCGGCGGCTGCTCCAGCACCTAAAAGGGTTTTTTATGTACTTATAAATTTTGAAAGAAAAAGCATCAAGCTCATGCATCATTTTTTAAAAAATTGATAGAAAGTGTTAAAATGATTTTTCGCAATCCATTATTTGTATTGTGATAAATATCACGGCTAATTTTAGATAATAAGACAACCAGACGGTATAGTGTACAGGAAGACGACTTAACGTCAGAACGATCCTGCGTTCGAGTGCCATGGATGTTCCTTCCTTCATTGTGATATCTGTTCTTACCTTGGGAACAACGTTGGCCTACCTAATGTCCTGCCCCTGAAATAGTGATCCAAAAATCTACCCTACTGCATACCTGAGTGGCGAGTATAAATCTGGTGGGCATTGGAAAAAAGATAAATGATAATTGTTTCTCTTCTCTTTTGCTGTTTACGTGAATACCCCACATAAAAAAATTTTAAAAGAAAGAAAATGTGATAATTTTAATTTAATAAATGTTTTAAATTTAGCTTCTGCTGTTTAAAACCAAATGGTGCATAGGAAAATCATCAATCCAGTCTGTACCTTTGCAGAATTCGGGCAAGGAGCATGATTCACGCACATTTGCTGGCATTCATTGTTTGTTTACGTCGGGAATACTCTAAAAATTCCCTACCGATAACGACAAGGGCGTTGCATCCAGAAAACAAGATATAATATCAATTGATTTCAAATTTATCGTAAATATTTCATGATAGGCTTGTCCTTTTCTGCCCCTCGTCAGGTAAGTTAAACATTCAGATATAATAAAGATGTCTGAAACGCGTAAATACGTTTCCATTATTAATTGATGAGATACCTCGAATATTGTTTCCCAGATTTCTTTATTGAGAAATAAGTATAAAAAAGCAAAAAACTTAATGTAAAAAATAAATCAATAAAAATAAATCGATATAAGCTAATGTAATCGGTATAATCTAAAAATCGATATAATCTAAATCAATATGACGAAAAAATTAATTTAAAAAAAACTCTATTAATTAGAGCCAAGATTCGAATATTTCAAAAAGCATATTTATGTATTCAAATATCCGTCAAAGATCATTGTACGATATTGGAATAATAAACATGCAAAAAATAGATTATGACACTATTATCCGTTGCTCAAACGCAACTCCAGAGAGAGGATTGGAAATAGAAAACTGAGTAGAAAATTTTCATTAAGATATTTACCTGCTCCAACACCATAGCCTTGTCCTGCCCCTTGGCCATAACCTCCTGCACCGGCACCAGATCCTGAACCAGCACCATACCCTTGTCCTGCACCTTGGCCGTATCCTCCTGCTCCTGCAGAAGCGGCAGCACTGCCTGTACTACCACCTGTAGCAATTATATTCTCTGTTTGAGTAGTTGTAACTACATTTTGGGTCTGTGACACTTGTGATGCGGTTGATCCACTGGCTGATGCAGTTCCTACTGAATATGCTCCTGCTGATCCAGAACCAGTACCATAACCTTGACCAGCTCCTTGTCCGTATCCTCCAGCAGCTCCAGCACCTGCTCCTGCACCAGATCCTGCACCAGCACCATAGCCTTGACCTGCTCCTTGTCCATAACCTCCTGCTCCACCTGCTCCTGCACCTGCTGCAGCTCCGGCACCAGCTCCAGAGCCTGCACCAGCACCATAGCCTTGACCTGCTCCTTGTCCATAACCTCCAGCTCCACCTGCTCCAGCACCTGCTCCTGCACCTCCACCAGTTCCTGCGCCAGCACCATAGCCTTGACCAGCTCCTTGTCCATAACCTCCGGCTCCTCCTGCTCCAGCACCTGCTCCTGCACCAGATCCTGCGCCAGCACCATATCCTTGACCTGCTCCTTGTCCATAACCTCCGGCTCCACCTGCTCCGGCACCTGCTGCAGCTGCAGCTCCGGCACCAGCTCCAGACCCTGCACCAGCACCATAGCCTTGACCTGCTCCTTGTCTATAACCTCCAGCTCCTCCTGCTCCAGCACCTGCTCCTGCACCAGATCCTGCGCCAGCACCATATCCTTGACCTGCTCCTTGTCTATAACCTCCGGCTCCACCTGCTCCTGCACCTGCTGCAGCTGCAGTGCCAGAGCCGGCACCAGAACCATAGCCTTGACTTGCTCCTTGTCCATAACCTCCTGCTCCACCTGCTCCTGCACCTGCTGCAGCTCCGGCACCAGCTCCAGAGCCTGCACCAGCACCATAGCCTTGACCTGCTCCTTGTGCATAGCCTCCAGCTCCACCTGCTCCGGCACCTGCAGCAGCTGCTGCCCCTGCACCAGCTCCAAATCCTGCACCCATTCCATAGCCTTGACCTGCTCCTTGTCCATATCCGCTACCAGCTCCAGCACCTGCTCCTGCACCTCCACCAGTTCCTGCGCCAGCACCATAGCCTTGACCAGCTCCTTGTCCATAAATTCCGGCTCCACCTGCTCCTGCACCTGCTGCAGCTGCAGCGCCAGAGCCGGCACCAGAACCATAGCCTTGACTTGCTCCTTGTCCATATCCTCCAGCTCCACCTGCTCCGGCACCTGCAGCAGCTGCTGCCCCTGCTCCAGCTCCATAGCCTTGACCAGCTCCTTGTCCATATCCGCTACCAGCTCCTGCACCAGCACCTGCTGCTGCACCAGATCTTGCGCCAGCACCATAGCCTTGACCTGCTCCTTGTCCATAACCTCCTGCTCCACCTGCTCCTGCACCTGCTCCTGCACCTGCTGCAGCAGCAGCTCCGGCACCAGCTCCAGAGCCTGCACCATACCCTTGACCTGCTCCTTGTCCATATCCTCCTGCAGCTCCAGCACCTGCTCTTGCACCAGATCCTGCTCCAGCACCATAGCCTTGACCTGCTCCTTGTCCATATCCTCCAGCAACACCAGCACCTGCTCCTGCACCAGATCCTGCGCCAGCACCATAGCCTTGACCTGCTCCTTGTCCATAACCTCCTGCTCCACCTGCTCCTGCACCTGCTGCAGCAGCAGCTCCGGCACCAGCTCCAGAGCCTGCACCATACCCTTGACCTGCTCCTTGTCCATATCCTCCTGCAGCTCCAGCACCTGCTCTTGCACCAGATCCTGCTCCAGCACCATAGCCTTGACCTGCTCCTTGTCCATATCCTCCAGCAGCACCAGCACCTGCACCAGATCCTGCGCCAGCACCGTAGCCTTGACCTGCTCCTTGTCCATAACCTCCTGCTCCACCTGCTCCTGCTCCTGTTGCAGCTGCAGCTCCGGCACCAGCTCCAGAGCCTGCACCAGCTCCATAGCCTTGACCTGCTCCTTGTCCATATCCTCCACCAGCTCCAGCGCCAGCACCTGCTCCTGCACCAGACCCTGCTCCCGCACCATAGCCTTGATCTGCTCCTTGTCCATATCCTCCAGCGGCTCCAGCACCTGCTCCTGCACCAGCACCATAGCCTTGACCTGCTCCTTGTCCATAACCTTCTGCTCCTCCTGCACCTGCGCTAGAGCCTGCGCCAGCACCATAGCCTTGACCTGCTCCTTGGCCGTATCCTCCTGCTCCTGCAGAGGCGGCAGCACTGCCTGTACTACCAGCTGTAGCAATTATATTTTCTGTTTGAGTAGTTGTAACTACATTTTGGGTCTGGGAAACTTGTGATGAGGTTGCTCCGCTGGCTGATGCAGTTCCAATTGAATAGGCTCCTGCTGATCCTGAACCAGTACCATAGCCTTGACCTGCTCCTTGTCCATATCCTCCAGCACCTGCCCCTGCACCGGCTCCAGATCCTGCACCAGTGCCATAGCCTTGACCTACTCCTTGTCCATATCCCCCAGCAGCTCCAGCACCTGCTCCTGCACCTGCTCCTGCTCCTACTCCTGATCCTGCGCCTGCACCATAGCCTTGACCTGCTCCTTGTCCATAACCTCTTGCCCCACCTGCTCCTGCGCCTGCTGCAGCTGCAGCTCCTGCACCAGCTCCAGAGCCTGCACCAGCACCATATCCTTGACCTGCTCCTTGTCCATAACCTCCAGCTCCACCTGCTCTGGCACCTGCAGCAGCAGCTGCTGCCCCTGCACCAGCTCCAGATCCTGCTCCAGCTCCATAGCCTTGACCTGCTCCTTGTCCATATCCTCCACCAGCTCCAGCACCAGCACCTGCTCCTGCTCCAGAACCTGCCCCCGCACCATAGCCTTGACCTGCTCCTTGTCCGTAACCTCCGGCTCCACCTGCTTCTGCACCTGCTGCAGCTCCGGCACCAGCACCATAGCCTTGACCTGCTCCTTGTCCATATCCTCCAGCGGCTCCAGCACCAGCACTTGCTCCTGCTCCAGCACCATAGCCTTGACCTGCTCCTTGTCCGTAACCTCCTGCTCCTCCTGCACCTGCTCCTGCACCAGCACCTGCTCCTGCACCATAGCCTTGACCTGCTCCTTGTCCATAATATCCTGCTCCTCCTGCACCTGCTCCTGCGCCAGAGCCTGTGCCAGCACCATAGCCTTGACCTGCACCTTGGCCGTATCCTCCTGCTCCTGCAGAGGCTGCAGCACTGCCTGTACTACCCGCTGTAGCAATTATATTTTCTGTTTGAGTAGTTGTAACTACATTTTGGATCTGGGAAACTTGTGATGAGGTTGCTCCACTGGCTGATGCAGCTCCTACTGAATAGGCTCCTGCTGATCCAGAACCAGAACCATAGCCTTGACCTGCTCCTTGTCCATATCCTCCAGCAGCTCCAGCACCAGCACCTGCTCCTGCACCAGATCCAGCTCCAGAACCATAGCCTTGACCTGCTCCTTGTCCATAACCTCCAGCTCCACCTGCTCCGGCACCTGCAGCAGCTGCTGCCCCTGCACCAGCTCTAGATCCTGCACCCACTCCATAGCCTTGACCAGCTCCTTGTCCATAACCTCCGGCTCCACCTGCTCCTGCACCTGCTGCAGCTCCGGCACCAGCTCCAGAGCCTGCACCAGCACCATAGCCTTGACCTGCTCCTTGTCCATAACCTCCAGCTCCACCTGCTCCGGCACCTGCAGCAGCTGCTGCCCCTGCACCAGCTCCAGATCCTGCACCCACTCCATAGCCTTGACCAGCTCCTTGTCCATATCCGCTACCAGCTCCTGCACCAGCACCTGCTCCTGCACCAGACCCTGCGCCCGCACCATAGCCTTGACCTGCTCCTTGTCCATATCCTCCAGCAGCTCCAGCACCAGCACCTGCTCCTGCACCAGATCCTGCGCCAGCACCATATCCTTGACCTGCTCCTTGTCCATAACCTCCTGCTCCACCTGCTCCTGTACCTGCTGTAGCTGAAGCTCCGGCACCAGCTCCAGACCCAGCACCAGCACCATAGCCTTGACCTGCTCCTTGTCCATATCCTCCGGCAGCTCCAACACCAGCACCTGCTCCTGCTCCCGACCCTGCGCCAGCACCATAGCCTTCACCTGCTCCTTGTCCATAACCTCCTGCTCCACCTGCTGCACCAGCACCTGCTCCTGCACCAGACCCTGCGCCCGCAACATAGCCTTGACCTGCTCCTTGTCCAGATCCTCCAGCACCTGCTCCTGCACCAGACCCTGCGCCAGCACCATAGCCCTGACCTGCTCCTTGTCCGTAACCTCCTGCTCCACCTGCTCCTGCACCTGCTGCAGCTCCAGCACCAGCTCCGGAGCCTGCACCTGCACCATAGCCTTGACCTGCTCCTTGTCCATATCCCCCACCAGCACCAGCACCTGCTCCTGCACCAGAACCTGCTCCCGCACCATAGCCTTGACCTGTTCCTTGTTCATAACCTCCTGCTCCACCTGCTGCAGCTGCAGCTCCGGCACCAGCTCCAGATCCTGCACCAGCACCATAGCCTTGACCTGCTCCTTGTCCATATCCTCCAGCGGCTCCAGCACCAGCACTTGCAGATCCTGCACCAGCACCATAGCCTTGACCTGCTCCTTGTCCATATCCTCCAGCGGCTCCAGCACCAGCACTTGCAGATCCTGCACCAGCACCATAGCCTTGACCTGCTCCTTGTCCATATCCTCCAGCAGCTCTAGCACCTGCTGCTGCACCAGATCCTAAGCCAGCACCATAGCCTTGACCTGCTCCTTGTCCATAACCTCCTGCTCCACCTGCTCCTGCACCTGCTGCAGCTGCAGCTCCGGCACCAGCTCCAGAGCCTGCACCATAGCCTTGACCTGCTCCTTGTCCATATCCTCCAGCGGCTCCAGCACCAGCACCTGCTCCTGCACCAGCACCAGAGCCTTGACCTGCTCCTTGTCCATAACCTCCTGCTCCTCCTGCACCTGCGCCAGAGCCTGCGCCAGCACCATAGCCTTGACCTGCTCCTTGGCCGTATCCTCCTGCTCCAGCTGAGGCTGCAGCACTGCCTGTACTACCATTTTTATACTGCATTTTTCGTGACTTGTCAAAGCAAGAAGTCACGACATGAAAGATTCCAGCTGTCTTTTGACTGCGCAGTTGAACAAGACGCAGGTACATCGTGACAAGACAGATTCTTATTTGAATTTTCTACTACGCAGTTTCCAGCTGTTCATGAATATGTAATATTTCCTTGCTACTCATGGCTGCTTGGTATTCCGCATTTTTCCCGTTTTATTAAAAAGTTCTTTTTAATCACACTGTCCTCAAATTATGTAAAACACAAATAAATTAAGAACTTTTCTAATTATTAAGAGATATAAATTTTTCTAATACCATTGTATGTCAAATACCTAAAGTAACTAAACATTTAAAACAATGTCTCCAGCATTAAAATTGGTTTAATTTCGGAAAATACTGTCTGACCCCGATTAAGCGAATTCATGGGGACCGAAAATATTATTCGCTAAATCGAGGATAATGCATAATATCAGGGGTATAATAAAAAAATTGATTATCCATATGGAATATCCGAACATCTCTAATAATCAAATACGCAAAACAAAAAAAAATCTTACACTTTTTATTCAGGAACTTAAAATACAGCGAATGATTACGCGCTGATTAATTTGAAATTTTAAATCATTTAGTGAGTAAGGGTTGCTTATTTTTCTTTATTTCTTACCTTATAAAAAAAGTTTACTTCTTCATTTGCTGCATTAGATAAGTTTTCACTGTTTCGAAACTGTGCAAATCATCAGAAAAATAGCAGTTATCACTATCGATATATTATTATCGACTTCTGTGTCAGAGTCACTATTCATTGTTTCTTACAAATCTACTTCAGTAGCTTTATAAAATGTGTTAAATCGCGAAATTCGGTAAATAGGGGTTCGTTAAACCGGAGTTTGACTTTATTAATAAATTGAGATTATTAGAAAACAGGATTATTTCTTATTAGTAACCTGTAATACTGTTTAAAAGAAAACTTTTCATTTAGTTATCTAAGTTTAACTGACCTAAATTATATGAATTTTATTGACCACTATAGATAAATAACCTTAACAAATGTATTAAAGTCCCATATTGAAAATAAGTGCGTGAATGTTATGTAAAAATACTATCTGTTTATGAAAATGAAACAAATTTTTTAAGACAACCACTGCGAAGAATCTCAACCAGAAAGTGTGGATTCACAGAAGTTTTGATATAATCTGAATTGTAATCTAATTTCTTTTCCCGTTTAAACGCATCCAATAATGAAACTGTTTTAAACCTTTCTTCTTTCTCTGCCGCAAAATTTGTAAATATTTCCATTTGGACTTAAATTTTTTCTAATGTAATAAGCGTATTTACTTTTATACTAAATAGATTATACTAGGAGAGATTAACGAAGAAAATTAAGAAAAATAACAATAAGTTTTATAGCAATTAGTATTAATACAATATTAAAAAGCACTCGTCCTTACGTATATAATCGTGGGAACTGATGGCTAGAATATATCTTATTTCCTTATTTTTTCGACTTTTTATTTTTTATTTATTATTTATTATATTTTTTTATTTATTATATTTTTATTTATTATGTTTTTCATTTATTATATTTTATTTATTATATACGACTTTTTATTTATATATACCTATCCACGAAGTTACACCAAATAGACCATTAACTGTCTTGCCTGCTTTCGCACGAGACAATGCACGATAGCATTTTGGTACGGTACATTTATTTACGTCACACTAGAGATCCGTAATGGACTATTGGCGACGGTCTACTGAAAACTACTGAGGCTGATTCGGAGACAAGATACGTACATCACATTCTGTTTGACAGGGAGGACGCATTCACACACCGTCCATCCATCCGTAGATCATAATTTTGATCTGAGCCAGAGCATGATCAATCTCCGATCCAGTACCTCTAGTATCTTCACTTGCATCTTTTACCAGTATCTTGACTTGTTATGAGAGCTTGGAGGACTACCCCGGACAGATTTAGCGTGCAATAACCATTTTGTACTCTGGGATTACTTCGGCCGACGGGTTCACAATAATTTGGGCATGGGCAGCACCCTACCAGCCATGCTATCCCAGCCCCCAATAATGTTTTGGAGTTTAAAATATAGAAGTTTTGGAGTGGGACTTTTTGTGATTTAAGAACTTTTTTGAGATTGTTCAACGTCTTCAGCACTCTGATCCTAATAGATTGCATTCCTATTTTAGTGGCCCCGCAATGGACTGACTGTTCCCAGAAAAACACCGAAGTCATTCATCACCGGCTGTGTTCAGTGTGTGTGTGCTCGTGATCACTTTGATCAGCCTGCAAAGGGACCGAAGGTTTGTGGTATTAAACAGTTCGTTAAACCATTCTATCGTGAAGTGCTCGACTTCACGCGCAGGTCATTGGGCTACCGAAGCAATGGAACCATTCCCTCTGCAGAGGATCAAGATTGCGATGTCATGTCCTCGGATCATTCCAAAGGATGTTTCACAAACCTCCGCCAATAGCCCATGATGCAGCTTTAGCGCGACGTATCTTCCTTTTGGATGTAGTCGGTTCCAATTATAATGAAAACTTTAATTTCATTTAAAATTTCTTAACTAAACTAAGAAAATGCGAATTGTTGGCTATTTTTGTATTGAAGAAAATGATAAACAGAAGAGCGGAACGAATAAAGCGGATAAATTTGAAAATCACGAACGGCCCAGCGCATGAAAAAACCACGAGTACTCTTACCGGGGAGCAATTTTCCAATCCAGCATCTTTAAAAATTTGATTCTTTTTTTTAATTCAGATAATGTATTTTAAAGAGAATAAGAATTGCACTGCAACTGAAATCAATTATAGCCAAAAGGAAAATCTCCAAAATAATATTGTGAAAACCAAGATTTTTTACATTTAACTCAAGTGACTACTAAATGCCCCCACTTCTGTGGTTCGTAGGATGTGGTAGAAAGAAGGCGATAATATATTTCAGCTTATGATGCGATAAATTAAGGTCATATGTGTTCAAAATTCAAATGTCAAAATTGGTCGAATTTGTTAGCTAGTGTATTATGCGAATAAGATTGGTTGATTGATTAAGAACATATGATTGTAAATTGAAAAAAAATCTAATTTTTAATCAGTTATTCTGTTTAAAAAAACCTATTAATTTAAACCTATAATCTCAGTTTCATTTTAATTTTTTCTCGGTTAAAAGATAAATATATTGTACTATATTTAGAGTAATAATCTATTTTTGAAGTTGTAAAATATACAGTAGTTTCACTAAATTGTGCAGCTACACTAAACGATTCAGATTATCTTACAGTATAAAAAGATTTTAAGATGATGTTACATTTATCCATTGTTGTCGATGCATTTTTATTGACCAGAATATCACATGGTAGGATCCAGGTTTCCCACATTCATTTTCAAATTAGTTTGGTTGACATCAGCATAAAATTGATATAAGTCATGATGGTGATTTCCTACAAATATTTTTGCATCCGTAATTTAAATGTATTTGCCTGTACCAATTATTATTACGTTTTTGATTTTTCCTTCTAAATTAGGAATTTAAGAAGATCGTTTTTTTATTATTATTGTTAGAATAACGTAGTTCTACGTTACATTTTAAGATAAAGATATTTAAATCTATCTGATCTTATTAACTGTTAAATTTGTTAAAACAATATACTTTTTATTTTAAATACCATTTCAAAAAATGATACTTAGAAAAAGGATTATATATATTTTAAAACAATGTCTCNTATAGAGAGAGAGAGAGAGAGAGAGAGAAAGAGAGATTTAGTTTAGTAATTTCAACTGTTTCTTGCCAAGAAGCAGCAATTACTGCGAATCAATCAACGGGGTGGATGAGCGTGAGAGAACAGGGGGCTTCACCCCGAGTATCTGAATAATATATATATTTGTATAATACATGTATTTGTATAATATATTTGTATAATTTATATAAAAAATTACTCTTCTTTGTAATTTTAGTTGGCCCTTAAGCTAGAATATTACTATTGACTTTTTTTCTATGTATTCTTTCGAGAAAAAAAAATAGCAAATTTTTATTTAAAATAGATTGTGAGTAGAATAGAAAACAAAAGCTTCTTATGATACAAAGTACTGAAAATTAATTTTTGAAAATTAAGAAAGAAGCGTCATCAAGATAATACAATAAGAAAAAAAGTGAGAATTAGTAATTTGCATATTTTGTAAATACTAAGAAATCCTCACTGTTTTTCCTCGACAGCAAATGAAAGCAATCGACAATCAAAGATAACTAATGCAAATGAGCACCTTTTTTTGTTTCACGAATATAAATGAAATGCTTAATTAATTGATAAAGTAGCTAATTAATTGGAATTGAAATGCTGAGTTTTTTACCTTTCTTCTTTTTGAATATTTATGAAGATTTTATGAGAAATGTTATTCCGTCTCAGAGTTAAATCTGCATTGATTATCATTGAGATTGCGACCTGTCATCAGAAAAACACATTTTATGAGTTGCAGGTGTCACTTTTATCACCAAACCTCAATAAAATCTGTCTCTGTTGTCGATTTTATTGACGTATTTATCACGCTGACTACTTTTATTGAAAATATTTTGTCAATTTTTCTCAGGTGCACATCGAAAGTTATGGATTTTCACGAAAACGCATGATGTTTTTACTATTTTTAGTCTGTCTCAGAAAACCATAAAACAAGTTGAAATAGGATAAAATATTAATATTGATGAAAATATAAGTAATGTATTCATATAATCAAATAAAATTTGGTTTACTTCGTGGTTCTGTAGAATAAGCTGCTTACTTCGTGTCCCTGGGATTATTCATGTAGACCCCGTAGATATTTCATTTTGTTTCCTTCTCGAAAAACACTTTCTGTTTAATCTATCTAGGCAATGAAAAATAACGCCAAAAACTTTGTCTCTCAGACAAGTAAGTTTTCCCTTAAGAATGGCGAGTAAGTTGTTCGGTAAGTAGTAATCAATTATTTGGAAGTTCATTGGGAGAACTTTTTATTTTTTATCTTTGACGTTTTGAGGTGCGTTAAAGAAAATAGATATAAATTTTAAAGACGTGTCAGAGAAAATGGATAAAGCTCAAAATACTATTAAAAAATTGAAGACGTTACTTAAAAATTTACCCGCCGATATCGAAATATTGAGAAAAGAGTTATTAAGTGGATACTTTGTTCACAATCAATCATGGGTGAAAGCGAGACGGAAAGGAGGAAAAGCTGGTAGTAAACCCATTTCAGTTTTAGCATGTTTTCGGGAGGAGTTAAACTATTCTTTTTTTTAATTATTCAGCTATATTTACTTTTCTATAAAGAAGCTATATTTTATCTATGCTAAAATTGTAAAAAAATTACGGTAGTTACAGAAATTTAATGTTTCTTGAAAAAAATGCTACAATGAAATACCTTTCGTACCAGTTTTTGCTCTTTTCCGTCTCGCTATATATAGGCCTTCAGCCTTGCAATCAATATGGTTAAATAGAATTATGATCCAAATTTTCAGAGCCAAATATATATATATATAGTATTATTTAAATATATCGGTAAATACGTATACCTTGCTTTTCCTGGATTAATGCTAATAAAGAAATAATTGAGATACAAGTCTTCTTTGTCTTTACGAAAAACAGACATTCAACAACCAATATGGTTTAATAGTATTATAATCCAGATTTTCAGAACCAACTATATAACTTAGTATTATTAAAATGTGTTATTAGATTAAATACACTCACGTTTTTTATTTATGAATGATGCTAGCTAACACTGAAATAATTTAGATGCATGTCTTTGTCTTTTGGAAAAATAGACACGGATCAAAACTGTTAAAAAAAAACGATCGTGGCGTTTTATTCCGTTTCTTTAATTTCATCTATCTATATTTTTAATAAAATCGTGAGAGCCATAGCTGTTTTATCTTTTAAACTTTACGAAAGACTTGCAAAGAGCATTAGATTTTTCAAAACATTTAAACTTTACAACATTTATATTTTACAAACTTCTTGGTTTTTTAAAATTAATCATTAACTTTTCGTTATCAATCTAATCTACCTATATTGAAGTGTTGGAGCCATTAAGGAATGAGTTGGCTTCACTCGGCAATTTCATTTGTATTGGTAAATGGTGTTATAATTCAACTTTTAACTACAGAAGGATCACAATTGGCTGCTATGGAAAGTCAGGAGTCTTAAAATTACTTAAAAGAAAGACATTTCCATTCTATTTTCGCAATCTTATAACATAAATAGAACCGTATAATCACAAAGACAACATTTTATTTTTATTTTAACTTAAAAACCAGCCTGGACTTATCACGAATTTTCATTTTGTGATTTGCTACAAAAAATGTTTACATTTTTGGAAATTTTAATAAAGAATTAATTTTTTCCTAATAGCTCGTGAATTTTTCAAAACAAGTAGTATTACAATTTTGATTTATTTTGAAGATTCTTAAAATTCAAAGATGATTTTCTCTTTCTAGTGCTACAAAAACTGCAAATTAATGTACACATATTTTAGACTTATAATATATATATATATATTNTACGTATTTTATTGCTAACATTCAAGTTTTTCCTTAAAATATGAGGTTTTAAATTGTCTCCCTACGAAGCAGTTTGCTTAATAGCACTATTCAATTGATTAGTGCTATTCAGTTTACTATCTAAAATTTAACTAGTATGTTTATAGTGCTAATCAGTTCAGTTTATTCAAAAAACAGTCTAGAACTTTTAATTAAAACAAATTTAAAAAACAAGTTTGTTTAATCATTTAACAGAAGGTGACAGAATTCTTATAGTAATAAAATTGATTTCTGAAAATTAATTTTAAGCAGCTGGCCACAAAAATTAAAACCTTGTCACGTGATGTTTAAAGAAAATGGAAATACAAAAATAAAAGCATACAACTGAAGTTATATTGCAAAATTTTCTTGCATATGAGCCACTATAAGTACATATATTTTTATTTATGTACAGTTTTTGATATCATTTACCATAAAGTTAATTTTAATTACCAATCCTTTTTATCTTTAACGTTCACACATTTCTACCTATTTTTGATACTCAATTAAAATCGCCAGTTTAAATTCATTTTCAATGACAATAAAAACTTTTTCATTTGCATTTTAACATTTTCAAATCAGAATTATATTAGGCATTTTTAAAATAAACAGATACCAATTGCAAAAATACAATGTGTAAAATTCAATATATCGAGTTCTACTTTCAATTTGCCAAGATGAGAGAATATTGAGAAATAGAATCCAATTTTTTAGAAGGATTGAAAAAAACCAGGATGAAAAATTACATAAAATAAAATAAGTTTAAAAAATTTAAAAACAATAAAGTTTGATGATTTTGAGTGAAGAAGTATGAAAAAAAATATTGAGAGTAATTTAAAAGAATTGAGTTGATATAATATTAGTTAATTTTCCAGATATTATGTTCATTTTTTATAAGTTTTTTTCTTAAAATGTGTTGAGAGACTTTCTTTGTAAAATTTTTTAAAGAAAGCAAATGAAAATTTGTTAATTTTCGAATAAAAATAACAACATCAATTACTCCAGTGACTTTTCATCTTCTTCCTTTTAAAATTTTATGAGAAAAGCTGGCAACACCTTTTAAGATAAACTTAATATAAAATGAACGTAATATTTAGAAAATTAACTGATACTCTATCAACTCGATTTTTATAAGTTTCTCTCAATATTTTATTCCTTTAATGCTTGCTCCATCATCCAAACCTATAAAAAAATTGTTGTTAATTTTTGAGTTCTTTAAAAATTATTTTATTAATTGTTACATGTTCACTTTTTCAGCTCTCAGGCTTTTGTGAGTATTTTCAAATAAGAATTTGGCAAAAATAGTTATTGGGATATAAAAACAGCTTCGTTGTTTAAAACTGCGTATTGTAACATTAAAAAAAAGTATTTTTTTGATCTTTTTAAAATTATTTTATTAATCGTTGCTTATTTACTTTTTCAGCTCTTAGGCGTTTGTGAGTATTTTTATAAAAAGAATTTGGCAAAAATAGTTATTGGGATAAACTCGGTATTAAAAACAGCTTTGATGTTTAAAACTGCTTATTCTGCCATTTAAAAAAAATCTCTTTTTTTTTAGTTTTTTAAAATTATTTTATTAATTCGCTTTTTCAGCTCTTAGGCGTTTGTGAGTATTTTTAGAAAAGAATTTGGCTAAAATAGTTATTGGGATAAACTCGGTATTAAAAACAGCTTTGTTTTTTAAAACTGCTTATTCTGCCAATTAAAAAAAATCTCTTTTTTTTTAGTTTTTTAAAATTATTTTATTAATCGTTACATGTTCACTTTTTCAGCTCTTAGACGTTTGCGAGTATTTTTAAAAAAGAATTTTGGCAAAGATTGTTATTGAGATAAGCTTGGTATTAAAAACAGCTTTGTTTTTTAAAACTGCTTATTCTGCCATTAAAAAAAAATCTCTTTTTTCTTGAGTTTTTTAAAATTATTTTATTAATTCGCTTTTTCAGCTATTAGGCGTTTGTGAGTAATTTTAAGTAAGAATTTAGCAAAAATAGTTATTGGGATAAACTGGGTATTAAAAACAGCTCTGTAGTTTGAAACTGCGTATTCTAACATTAAAAAAAATCTTGTTTAGAGTTTCTTGAAATTATTTCATTAATCGTTACATGTTCACTTTTTCAGCTCTTAGACGTTTGCGAGTATTTTTAAAAAAGAATTTTGGCAAAGATAGTTATTGAGATAAGCTTGGTATTACAAATAGCTTTGTTTTTTAAAACTGCTTATTCTGCCATTAAAAAAAATTTCTTTTTTCTTGAGTTTTTTAAAATTATTTTATTAATTCGCTTTTTCAGCTCTTAGGCGCTTGTGAGTAATTTTAAGTAAGAATTTGGCAAAAATAGTTATTGGGATAAACTGGGTATTAAAAACAGCTCTGTAGTTTGAAACTGCGTATTCTAACATTAAAAAAATCTTGTTTAGAGTTTCTTGAAATTATTTAATTAATCGTTACATGTTCACTTTTTCAGCTCTTAGTCGTTTGTGAGTATTTTTAAAAAAGAATTTTGGCAAAGATTGTTATTGAGATAAGCTTGGTATTACAAACAGCTTTTTTGTTTAATCCTAAATATTCAAACATTACAAAAAATCTCAATTTGTTGAATGGTAGAACAAAATAACAATTTCCTTATAGTCGATTTGTGAGCATAATTTCTTTTTATATTGTATTTTAATTAGAACTTTCTTTTGAAAGATAATGGTCTACATACTTATAAGTTTCTTCGGAACAAACGAAACGAACTATTTCGATTACTTTCCTTAATTCTAGAAAAATATACCGATCTAGAACAATAAAAATGCCTTTTAAAATAGAAATTAACTAAAGAAATTAAATTTTGGAGGTATTAAAAAACTGAAAGACAGCATTATTACGCAAATAACTGCGTTCGCAAAAAAATTTATAATCAATCTTTACACTATGGGCCTCGTATACTTACTTGTAATGAATCCTTTGACGCAAATGGAAACCTTTATTCCTCTTATATATTTTTTCTGATGCTCAAATTACAAGTCAAAATATATTTTGGCATTTTTCTTACATAAAAAACTATCCAATTGTTACTGAAAAAATCTGTTAGATTGTAGCTATTGAATTTGTTCCAAAATATGAAATCCGAAATAAAAGTAATTATGTTCAAAATTTATCAATAATTGATTTCATAAATTAAGGAAATTTCAATGACAATTCTTTCTTTTAGACCTAAGCAACTGTAAATGCGGGCAAATTTTAAAATTAGAGAGATTTCGCAAATTTACGTAACCTTCGCTACGTTCCCGTACGTTAACCTTTAAATAATTGCGCATACCTCAGATCTGGGGAAATGCGAATGCACCCGAGAAGAATATCGAAGTTACGTAAGGGAAAATAAGAGATTTTGCCACAATCCGTAAATTAAGAATG